TTACTACTACTACTATTAAAAGTTGTATACCACCCTTCATCCAAAGATCAAAGGATAGTTCACAACATAAAAATAAAAAATGCAAACACAAAATACATAATGAAAAAAAACAAACCAATAACCCTATTCCCACAAACATATTTAAAAGGCCATAGAATGTTAATCAGCAAAAGGTCTAGTTATAGAGAAATGTTTTCACCTGGTGCCTAAAGATGTGTAACAAAGGCACCAGGTGAGCCAACCTAGGAAAAGCATTCCACAAATGGGGAGCCACTGCAGAAAAGGCCCATTCTTATGTTGACATCCTTCAGACCTCTTGTGCAGGAGACACATGAAGGAAGGCCTCAGATGATGACTGCAAAGTCCAGGTGAGTTCATATGGGGAGAGGCGGTCCTTGAGGTATTGGATTTCTGAGCCTTTTAAGGGTCAAAACCAGCTATTTGAATTGGGTCCAGAAACTAATTTGTAGCCAGGGCAGTCAGGCCAGGATTGGCATTATATGTCCAAACTGTATTGCCCTGGTGAGCAACCTTGCTACTGAATTCTGCACCAGCTAGTTTCTGAACTGTTTTCAGAGGCAGCCCTACGTATAACAAATTGCAGTAATCTAACCTGGGAGTTACCAGAGCATATATGACAGAAGTTTGGCTATCTTCGTCCAGATAGAGGCACAGCTGGGCACCAGCCAAAACTGATGGAAGGCACTCTGTGCCACTGAGTCTCAAATGATGGCGAAGGTGTGTGGCCCCATGAAGAGCAGGCCACTTCCCATCCAACTGGTCTAGGGAACCACCTACTAACAGTGCTTCAGTGTAGCTGCTTGGCCAAAGGGGCTTTTCCTTTCTTGGTTGGTCTTGAACCCTTGTCCCAGGAGGGCTGTGGGTGTCTTGCCAAGGGACACAGTGAGTATATATCTGTCATCATTGTGCTGTTTTTGTCTATACTAATTGTGTCCCTCCTTTCTTCTCTAGCAGAGCACTCATAAGATACAGCAGCTGTTCTACTAATGTCATGGCAGCATACCTCCACACCTGGCATAATGTGAGTCTTGGGTTCCTTTGCCGAAGATCTAGATACCCATAATGAAATGTTCTTTCTGGGTGCTAATTCTTTGAATTCTCTGCATCAAGGTCTTCTGCTTACCAATCATTCTTTCACATCAAGCTGCATTCTTCACTCAACACTCTTTTCATTGGCTTGATCTTAAATTATTAAAGGAAGTTATGAACAAACATTAACTTTCCGAAATACCTTTCCCATCCTTACTTCATCTATTATTCTATGCCTTTTTTATTTATTGATGGCGTTTAACTCTGTGAATGCTGAAATTAATCATACTGATATGTCTCATATGTTCCTCTACCAATGTAGTCATGCACGTCCATTCATCTCCCACGAAGGCAGCTCACAATAGCTGGAACATTTATCACCTCTAAGAAGTCAGGTCTAAGCAGAAATATAGTTAATATTATGCAGGTCTTCAAAGTTTAGTTATGGGCTAGTGAAAGGGAAATGTTTGTTCAAGTTTTGCTTTGGATACAAAAAAAAAGTAATATCAAGCATTTCCACTACTCTAACATACTGCTGGCATTTCTGACATGTATTAGTTATAGACACTCACGTTGTTTGAATGGAAAGCTGTAGCTTACAAACATAAAGTGTCAATATACCCAGCATGGTGAATGAGATAGGCAAAGTGGGAGTTATACAGAGCAGAACGATACAGTAGGAGCAGAGGAGTCACTATGAGTGATGAAGTTAAACGTATGCCTTAGCAGCACCCACCATTGATCCTTCCAATAAACCAAATCAAATCCAATAATTCTAGCAAGTGGGGAAGACAAAAATTTGAATCATCCTGCCTGCGCTGCCAGTTTTCACAGGATTAAATATGGAGGTAATTGGCCTTCTCTCCCAGTAGTTATCGGAAAAGACAGATTTAATGTCGCTCAGAGCTCTCCAACTGAATCTTGCGTCCAATTTTAAATTAGTCAGAAATCCAGGCTATTTCCCATTGTTATGGATTCATAGTGCTTGGAGGGACAAGAAGGCAATTCAGCCCAGTCTTCTGGCCCAAAGCAGGATCAACTTCAATCACATCAGGCCTCCTCTACACTTGACGATGAGCCAGTGGGATCCATGTTCCAAAGGCAGAGAGCAAGAGGAACAAAGGGACTGTGGAAAATAGTTGGTTAAATACGGTGGGTGCTGTTGCTTCATGATGATCCATGCAATATTGTCTGCTTCAGATTCCTCTAACTGTCAGACAAAGAAGTTCAGACACCAGCACTTTATTGGCCACATGGCTGCAACTATTAAAATTATTGTTCACAACAGAAGATACAGTGTGTTATAATGGTAAATGTTGGAGTTGGACCAGGGAAGCCCCGGCTTCCAATCCCACCCTAGAAATGGAGTCTACTAGGTGATGTTGGGCCAGGTGCTTTTAGGCTAACCTGCCTCGTAGAACTGTCATGAAGATAAAAGGTGGGATCACATATACTTTTTGTTGAGTTCCTTGGAGGAAGGGCTATGTAAACATGCCTCACCCCACAATATCACCCCATCATCTCCTTTGTTGATGGCACTTGACCAGGGAGGTAATTTGGCCTTCAATTTCACACATACAGATTAGCCACCTCCACTTTAAAGAGCTATGGCAGCCATAGTCCATGATCATATATGGTTCCCCAATATTTTTTGTGTGCCCCCCCCCCACAATTGAGAGAGAGAGACAGAGAGAGAGAGAGACTGAGAGATACTCCAGTGGACCTCCTGCTGTGATTCTATGATGCCAAAGGATTTTCTAACCCTCCCAAAGAGCCCCACAATTTGTCCTCACCAAAAGATTTTTTAAAAGAGCACCTCCACTTTTACACATTGTTGACACCCACTGTCGCATGCACTCTCCCTGGAGAGATGTCCATCAATCAATGTGGCCCTCAGCCCCTCAGCTCAAAAACAAGGCGAGCCACCCCTGTTCTATGGGATTTTCTTGCATAAAATTGAAGCATTATCCATAAATATAATAAATGAAATGTTTGCGCTCCACACAGAACAATAATTCATGGTGGCATGCGAATGTTATGGGATTAGGATTGGTATGTGCGTATTTCTTCTTAATAAATAAACCTATTGACATAATGTAATGCCCGGTGGGTAGCAGGAAACCCCACGGTACTCTAGTTCTTTGAAGGCCAAAAAAACCATGATTTCCCCCCCTTCCAAGCAGAATTGCCAACTTTTATCCTGTGCCTTCTCTGCAGCAGCTGAAATTAGCTTTTCTGTGCGGTGAAAAGCTGTGAAATGCTGATCTCTGCAATGCAGACCAAGCTGCCCAGGATAAATCACGGCTGTTCCACACACCTCCCTCCCCACCACTGGTCAGTGCGTAGCCCCATTGCAAAATATTGTTTAATACTGATTGTCATTACCAAGATAATACACTGCATGTCGTATTCAGCTTTTGCGTGCTAATAAGTGGTATGGGGGTTTTTTTGTGAAGCAAAGAGAAAAGTGTAATTATCTAGCAGTGAAGATAATGACTATGACAACAAAAGGTTTGTAGATAGGTGGCAAGTACAACAGTAACATTTAAACAAAAGCTGCCTGTCTTGTATCTGTTTCCATGTATAATAGGACTGCTGCTCTTTCTGCTGCTGTTAGAAGAACTCTGCTGAAAGTTTTGGCACATGAACACAACAGATGTACCCTGGTTTCTTTCCAGGGTTTAAAAGAAATATTGGCTTGTACTGCCCATGCATTGTCATATTTGGAATGGTCTTTTAAACCATTCGCAATCCACCCACTTGACAGCTCAACAGTATCCTGATTAAATATATTTCAGGTACAGATAATCATGGGGACACCTGCATCCAGACTTCAAGTCTATTCATAGGAACTTTGAGGGTTACAAGAGTTGGCCAGTGTTTAAGGCAGATGCACTAGAGAAGCTTCTAATAAATGCACAATGCAGATAACATTAGGAGATCAGTAATTACCTATCTTTATCACTAGGCAGTCTGCATCAAATTCTAGGTAAAGGAGGGAGAATTCTTCAATTCCAGGCAACTCTAGTTTTAAAAAGACTCAAATAGCACAGAAGGACCCCTGAACAGCTGCTAGTTGACAATTATGGACTAGATGGATGGATTGTCTCACCTGGTATAAGGCATTGTCCTATGAATCTGCAGGCAGGCAGATCAAAATCTCCGGTTTTGATTTGGAGATGTTCCATTTAATGTAATTGGTTCTACTATTTGGGATTGGATGTTTACTCAAGAGATCAATAGGCAGGGAAGGAATCCTTCCCTACCAACTGAACTCCTGCAGTTCCTCATCAGGTGCAGAGTAGCTGACTAGGAACCTGGCTCCACAAAACAGTGCATAATAGTGATAATGATGAAAAAACAAGGTTGATACCTGCATTATACATTAGTTTCAGCTTGACTTAGAAGCCAGGCATTGTTTGTGATCACTACATTGTGTTTCCTAAAACTCATAACAGAAGAAGTGATGGTCTCTTTAACTTTTCTTTCTGCTCCAAAGCTTGGCATGACAAAAGAGAAACCCAGTTTCCAGGAAGCTCCAGAAGAGGACTCAGAAGAGGGGTGACTCTCTCTGTGGAATTGAGCTTCGGAAGCACTCTCCAGAGATTACCACTATAGGTAAAATGTCCCCTCCTCTGCAGTTTGTGTGTTTGTTGTCCTCTGTGTGTGTTGGGGGGAATTGGCTGGCAGTGAAGTCATGGACTCTGCCTGGTCACAGTCTCAAAGCAAAATGTGGGAGGAAGTTGAAGACATTCAAATGAGGCTCTCTTATAATGTGGTGCAGGTTTCTGGTTGCACCCAAGGCACCTGGGAAGAGGGAACATACAATAGTTTGGTGGTTCATCCCTTCTACTTCCACAGGAAAAACAGCCTCATACTGAGAAAGGCCCTTGGTTCATCTAGCTCAGTCTTCCCTGACTGAGTGTCATTCTCTGGTGGTTTAGATTGGGAGATATCTCCAGGGACTGAACCTGCAACCTTCTGCATGCAAAGCAGATGCTCTCCCACTGAGTTATGACCCTTCCCCACCCAGAAAAAGGCGGCTAGTGCAAATATACTTTGTCTAGATATCTTTTTCAAAAGAACTGAACTATTTTTGCTGGAATGTAGTTTCATTCACCTGTGCCCTAAACATGCATTATGCTATTAATGCCGGCTCACAGAAAAGCTAATGATCTGGAAAAATAAAAATAAAACCAGTGTGTGCTAAGATATTTAATCATACACTCCAGGGCTTTATAGGCTCATAGCAGGCCTCTTCAGTATGCTAGTTATCCAGCACAATTCAAATCAATTGCCAAACGTCGCCTTTATGAAAGTTGGATTCTTGCTCCCTTCCTTACTTACAGAGATATACAGTGCTCTTGTAGTTCTGTACAAATCACATCTAACCCTTTTAAAGTTCAATTGCCAGTGAAACACAAATGAAGAATAAGATAATCTAATCTCTTCAGGCATGGAGTACATAGTTTGGTGGCAACACACAAGAGAGCTATTTCTTTGGCAGTGCCCTATATGTGGAACTTGCTACCCTAAGATGTTAAGCTACACATTAACCCACATGAAAATATATGCCATCACAGAAGACTTCAGACTCTTGGGTCCAGAAGGAACAGTTTCCATAATGTTGGAGTGCTAAGTGGCCAGAGGTCAGGTACTTTCTATGCTTTTCTGTATAGAGCAACAATGGATAGGCTTAGAGAGCAAAGTTGAAGTCTCTGTGCCCATCTTAAGAAGAGGCTAAGTCCAGACAACCTTTGACCTGGTGCAAAACTTCAGAGTGCCAAGAGATATCCCTGTGCACCTGAAGTGGAGGGTCCTCAACTTTAGAGATGCAGAGATACAAGCAACTCTTAACTGTTTTACCATTAGGGGCAATACTTGTTGGAAAAGGCACAGGTATTCTTGTCAGGGCTAGTAAATGTCCAAATAGAGGTGCATGCTTATGTTAGCAGTCTGCAAATGGATCAGATGCTGTCCAAGGCATTAGCAAACATTTGGGTCTCTTACCTCTTCCGGTCAATGAAAGGAAGTTTCATTTCTATTAGCGTGGGCAGCCAGGTTAGTTTCCATGGGGCCTTGTATTTATTTATTTACTTACTTTAATGTCTCGTTTTATCATTCCCCATGCACATTCCCCACATTGTTCTAGATTAAATTCCATGCTCAGCAACAGGACCAGTGCAAAGACACAATCACCAAGCTCATTCGTCACCAGTCTGTACTAATCATGGTGATAATGTGCCACATTTATGTGATAATTGCAATGACCACATTTTTCTGATTTGGACCAAAGCACATTTTTTTGTTTTTGAAAGAGTCTAAGAATCTGCTGAAAACTATAAATATTTAACTATTCACTGAATTTCACATTGCCCTTTTGATGCTCAGACTTCTGAAATGTATTACATCACATGCTTCTTATGGAGTGTCAAAGCCAAGGCAGTTCCCCTTTGTTTGGCATCAACAGGATTTGTCTTCTTGAAGCAGCATGTAAAATGATAATTCTTTATTAGCAATTCCCACACAGCAGTCATGTAAAGTAGGATATGAAAGAGGGTCATCTCACCATGTATAATAATACATTGTGCTATGCCAGGGTCTATTTTTGATCATGAATTCATTTGTTTTATTTAAATAGGTCTCACTGAGTGAAGTACATTGCTTCTAGGCTCGTTGTGCAACAGCTATCAAAGAAACGCCGGCTTGAAAGGCAAGCTTTATTTATGAAATGAAAGAAGAATCAGAAATGGCCTGGAATTCTGGTGCTTTCTCCTACATTCCTCCTTTCCACAAAGTGGCTAAAATATGTCACTGGAGAGTTAAAAAAAGAGAAGTGATTGCACAAATTTATTTTAGTGGCAATGAATTGTCAGTGTGCACAAATCAATATAACACAACCTTGATCCTGAATCGGAGTGGGAAACCTCAGGGCCAGGCTCAACAAATTTAGCCCCTGATTTTCTCTGGCTCTCAGGACTCTCCGCCTCCCCAGGCCACACCCTTCGCTGGTCCTGCTTCAGCTCCCCTGTAGTACTTTTGCCTGGATAGAATATGTCCTTGAAGTGTGAACTTGCTTGCCTGGGTGGTCCTTAAACTTGTTTGCCCAGATGGTGTGTGTGTGTGTGTAGAACCCTCATTTGTGTGTGTGTAGAATGTAGTCTCTTAAACAGAAGAAAGAGACACATCCATTGCCACCTCTGTGACATTACCAGAGGCCACCCCCAGGTCTCAGGTTTGGGCCCTGATCTCTCACAGTTTGGGATGCTCCAGACCTAGCAACCTTATATATCCCATAAATTGTGGTCATTTTAATGGGAAATCAATGTTTAAAAATTGAACTAAAAGGTGAACTAATGCATTAGATAGTCTATTGAGCTTCTTCATAATTGAAGGCTGGAGATGAACCACAGGATTTTGTTTTGTTTTTGTTTCTTTGTTTTTTAAAAAAGAGGGTCAAAAGCAGAGATGGGCAGATCAGTCAAGTTCTGGCCCCTTTTCCCTATAAGCCCACTTCACCCCATTTTCATATTAATATGTGATTGAGTGGGATGGATGTGGATGCCTTCATTCAAATTTGCATTGCAATATTATTTAAACATATCTATTTCAAACTATGTTCTCTCAAAACATGCATTTTAAAATACATGCCCATCCTTTTTGAGTTAAGAATTGCACCAAAACTTTCAGAAAGTACAAAATGCACTGGCTAGCTAAATTTTAGGGACATGAAAAGCTGTCTTATACTGAGCCAGACCACTAATCCATCTAATTCAGTATTGCCTGCACTAACTGGCCAAAAGCTCTCCAGAGTTTCAGTTGAAAGATTGGGGATTCCAGGGATTGAACCAGGAACTTTCTGCATGCAAAACATATGTTCTACCCCTGAGCTATGGGTCTTCTGATCTGCACTTTAGCTGGGAATATGCAGAACAGGGATGGAGGTTACTTTCTATTTTGTTTACATTTTAATGAGAAACTCTCTAATTCACTCTTATACCAATTATACCATGAACTGAAGCACAGCTATCTTTCAAAATGCACACTTTTGCAATGTAGTTCTCTAGCCAAACAATATAGGCAAAACTGTAAATACTTAGGGGGGAAAGTACATAAACGTTCATGATTTATTGAAAATAACACACGAAAATGCATTAAATTTGGGGGAAATTGCATTATGAAATGTGTTTATTAGTATAAATTCACAGTGAAATACTGATGAATTTTCAATTTTTGTTTTATATGATTTTGTTTTATATGAAAAATTGAAAATTGCTATGGAGATGTGGAGAAGTGAATGTAATGAGAAACCGGAAGAATTGAAATTGAGAGATTCAGCCATCCTTAGCCCACAGTGCACCTTCCTTTTGTCCCACTGCAAACTTTAGCTAAACAAGCATTGTCTGGTTTTGAAACAATGCAAAATCTTTCCAAGTTCTTTACCAAAACATGTTCACAAGATGCCAAAGGAGACAAATACAGTGGTGTCACAAAAAGCAACCCGTCTTTCAAACCACCTACAGTTCTCTCAAAAAGAATTCATCCTTTAGTCTAAGACAATCCTCCACATATTGGTATTACCTACTATGAATCCTAAAGATAACAATCTCTAGCAATATAAGTACGTGATTTATAAGGAAGGATAAAGCAATCTGAATTTAATCAAACTAAAGAACTGAAGGTAAGGGCTATTGTGTTTGCTTAATTCATTTAAAATGAAATTTCATCTGAAAAACTCATTATGTGAAGCTGATGTTGCTTTTATACATCTGTGCTGAAGAATGTGGGAATGTATCCAGCAAAATTATCCCCCCCCCCCCCCCGCTGGCTACAGAATAGTTGTGCTTCTAACAATTGCTCTGTGGCTTGAAAATGCAGAGGTGCCATCTGAGAGTTGATAGAAGGAGCCTTGTCTAAATGGTCTAAATTTTTAAAGCTCATGCATCAATGATACCTGCTCTCTCTGTTAGGTTAGTGTTTCCTGCTTCTGGGCCTGTAGACTGTCTATGATGTCTTAGATGTAACATTCTTAGAGTGTCTCTGTGTATAAAGTCCAGAGTACTTAAAATGGGCAGTTGTTAACGGATGTACGGAACAAATATCCAAGATGGAACAGCCAAATACTGAAACCCACTGCAATAACTGACTGCTCACATCAATGATCTCACCTCTGGGCAACTCTAATGCTTCTGTGGAAGGTCAGAAATTCACCAGACCAGCAAAGAAATGAGGGGGGGTCTCTGTCAATATTATTTAGGCAACTGAAGCTATACCTACCTACCTACTACTCTTATGTGCTCCTAAATTTTCCAAACTATGATTTAAAACTAGTTGGATATTTTCTGGCCTTAGGAGGCTGTTTGTGAAAGGGACAAAAATGTAATAACAACTTTTTTTTTGAAGTTCACCACCACTGCCCCAAGCTAAGACCCAAACTTTATCTGTCCAGTCCCTGAAGCAAAATAAAAGAGGATATCTAAAAATTGCAGCTTATTCATGTTTGAAGAAGAGGACTAAATATCTGGAACATACCTGGTCCCCAGATATAAATAGTGCCATTCTTTGACACACACCCCCACCAAATGACCCACTTAGCTATTCTCACAATAAGAGCTTCTGAAGGTGACAAAAGTAGGAACACACTTCTGATACGTTCTGCACCAATCCTGGAAAGCCACCAGCAAACAGCTATCGGTGCATAAAACAGGCATGGAAAAACAACAGTTATCTAGAGTGTCCTTACAAATGTTTTAAAATACTATAGGGTGCGTTGTGTGCTTTTCCTCACCATATTCATCCCTGCTTGTGGTTCTGTTCAGAGGGTACAAATGTTTCCTAAACCCACAACTCTTTATCTCATTTCCTACTGCTTTCCCAAGCAGGTGCCTAAGTTCCTTTAACACATTAGCTCTCAAACCAAGAAGCCTCTAAGAATATGACACAGTGCCGTAAACTTTTTGAGCCATGAGAAGATGCTAAATAAAGATGAAATACCAAATGTTTCCTTTGAATGTCGAAACA